AAGTAATCTTATTTTTTAAGTTTTAAAAAATATGTATTAAAATTTTTATATTATTTAAATAATTTTTTATAAAGTTAGAATAAAAATATTAATGGTAATTTTTTTTGTTCCAGACTATATATATAATTTATATATATATATTTATTTATAAAAAATTTTTTAATTTGTAATTTTTAATTTAAAATTAATTTTGCATAATAGTTAATTATAAAAATCAAAATAAACTATCTTTAACTATTAAAATATATATATTCAAAATTTTAAATTATTTAAATAAGAATTTATATTATTATAACAAAAATAATTTATTCAAAAAATATTGCTCATCACTATATATTTAAAACAATTATAAATTATTTAAATATATTATATTTTTAATTTTTAATTTTTTTGGTTTAATTTTATAAATTTTAAGTAAATATCTATAGTTGTTTAAATTGTTTAAAATTTATAATTATTATAAATAAGTTGATATCTATTGTAATTTATATATTGTATATAATGATTTTTTTATTTATTTTTTAATTTTTAATTATTGGTTTTATTTTTTAAAAAAATTATTTGAAAAATTATAAATGATAAAATTTTGTGAATTTTAAACATTTACAGTATATTAAAATATTAAAATATACATTATTGAACTTTTTATCGCAAATTTAAAATGATTGGCATCTATTTATAGATTTTTATAGATGAAAAAAAATCTTAATTCAAAAAATGTCACTCTTTCTTAGAAGAAATACTAGTATAATCAAAACCTCATGCACAAGTCGACAATTTTTTAAGCTTCAAAGAAGGAATGCAAGTGGTGGCCACGGAGATCATGGTCATCACGAGCCTGAATGGAACGAACCTTCTGGTTATTTGTTTGGCGAGAAGGTATATTTAAGAGAAATTTACAATAATGCGGGTTAAGGTTTAATCGAAATTACCGTTCTGGTTGATTTAAATGCATTGTTCGAATTAAGTAGCCACTCCCACCAGGTCAAAAACGTGTAAAAGAAGATTGGGAAAATATTTGGTATTTTGGAATGGGAGGATGTCTTCTACTAGGTATTGTTATTGCCATATATAAACCCGATACCAGGTAAACTATAAGCTTTAATGTCTAACTTGATATTCAGATTCTTGACATTAATCACCCTTATAATTAAGTATACAATCCTGGGCTTTGAAAGAAGCTGAAAAACGATTAAAGGAACGTAATGTCTCTCTAGACTATCCTAAAACCGAAAGGAAGTGGTAGTGATTAATTATTCTGATTGAGACGCTCGGCACGCAAGGATATTACAAAGATTAATTAGTGAATGTTTCGATAATTTTATAAGTATGGTTGATGTTGTATAATACATATGGAACGCTCAAATGATATTCAACATGAAAACAATCATATCGATTTACATAGAATTAATTGCAATTGTCATATTGGTATTTTCTTATCTCTTGAAAAAAAAAAAAGCACAATGGAAAGATGTACATTAATGTCATAATAAGATTTATTAAATGCAATCAAGTCGAAAAGAATAAACTACAATAATAAATAATTGCAGATTGTATATAATACAATTAACATTAAAAATATTTAATAAATTAGTATAATTAAAAATAAATGGTTATAGTAGTAATGTGATTAGTAATTGATTTATTTATTGATAGTATGATTTTGTTTTGATTATTGTTATCAAAAAAGATTTTATTTATATTGATGAATATGTATTGTTTTGGTTATATAAATTTGTTTGAAAAATTTGTAGTATCTGATTAGTTAAGTTTGGAATGTAATCAATTAACAAGAGTAAATTGATTATGGTTTTTTAATAAGAAATTTTTAAGTAAGAATTTGACAAAGTTTTAGTTTTAGTTACTTTTAATTTTTTCTTCTCAATTTCTTTTATTCAAAAAAAAGATTTCACTAAACAACTTTTCAAGTAGGTAGGCATAGCCATTACTTCCATATTTGACATTTTAATATTGCTTTTGAAATTTTTTACAATATTAATTAAATATGGTACAAGTAGGCAAGCTAGCATTTAACTTGTATGCAATACATTCAAGAGATATTGTTTCTTTCATAATGTATACCTTGATATATACAAATCAAATAAAAAAATGATGTTTACCTACTGGAATAACCCAAAATACTATATATATATATATATATATATATATATATATTGGAAATTAAGATATGATAAATTTATTACTTAAAATTAATATATATTAAACTAATATTGTCAATATTTTTTTGGAAACTTTAATATATATGAAGCAATTGTTCCAGATCATATGCATATATTAGATTTTGATCTTTTTAAATATATGCTATATTATACAAAAGAAATATTATGGGAACAGTGTGAAAATCAAATAATTCAAGTTTTTAAAAAGCAATTTTTATCAATTCCTCTATTTCAAGAATTAAAGATAATGAAAAATATATTTGACATAACTCGTTTAACTACTGATAAATTGTAAAACATAATGAAAATAATAAATTTTCCACTGGATAATCTATATAATAATTATAGAAAGCCAGGAATAAGCAATAAACAGTTATGTCAAGTTTATTATAAATTTCTTCGAATGTATATTGCATCTCAAATAGAATTATTTAATAACAATTCTATAGATAAACTATAGATAAGTAATATTAAATTAAAAAATTAATTACATTTGCTTTAATTAATAATACCTTCTATTATAGATATTTATTAATAATTGGATTCAAGAATTTATTGAAATATTTGCTCCATATTTACAAAGTAATTTGTGATTACTAAAGCTTCATACTTGGTGTTATTATTTAATATTTGCAATAAAAGAATATGTAGCAATAAATAATATAACTACAGAGACCTATAAAACTCTTTACAAAACATATATTAAAAATCTATATCAAATATCTAATAAAAAAGATTATATAAGACAGATATTAAAAATGGTATAATTATTTTTTTTTTTTTTTTAAAACACTAGCTGGGCCTTGCCCGGTATACTTTATTAGTTTGTGATGTTTACATTAGTTAT